GAGATGCTCTAGGCTGCTCAAGATGTCTGGGCTGGCTGATCTAACACAGGGAATCCATTCCCACTGGACGCAGGCAAGGATGTCCTGTTCTGTCCAAACTGGCACAAGAACACTCAAATCTCCTTCAGAGTGTTTCTACCTGGAATTGTTCCAGGACAGCTACTCTGCATTAAGACAACCCACAAGACTATACCTTATTCTGGAATAATTTTTATGTAATCTATCATCCTAAATTGCCTGCCACAGAGAGCTTGGTTAACAACCTAATCAAAGTTTGCCTGAAGATGTTATTTAGAGTCATTAACAATAGAAAGGAGAGGTTAATGGGCACCTATGCAGGGTCCTGCATGGAAACTTTGGCAACACTTTTTGGGAACAAAACTTAGAAGTTTCTATGTGAAAATTTCATTCATTTAACTAAGAACGGGATTTAAAATCAGTATGAAATAGGTAGTGCCAGCTCTTTTAGATCAATATAAGCCTGACAGAGCTGGGTTTAACTTATGCTGAGTTAGAAGTAAACCAATATAAGCTGCCTGTATCCCAACATTAATGTGTCTACTTAGAGTCTGTACTGAATTAATGAAACTGTTTCAAAATTTATTTAAGTCAAAAGAATGTGTACAAACAGAATTTTTACTGAAAGATGATTTATTAGATATGTATAATGCAGTCAATGATGGTGGATATGACAGAGAAGGAAATCAGGATCTTGACATAGTGAAAAAACCTGAATGGTTATGCTCAGGCAGTATTGTGCAATATTCAGATACAAAAACAATGGCACGAATATTTAGATTGTAGCCAGTTCCCTACATAATATAAGGTCCCAACACATAAATATGCATTTCTGTATACATAGGCAGATGGCATAAATATGGCAAAAGGATGGAAGTTTAAAGTGGATGCACAGGGAAATGGTCTAAACCAGAATAAATGGCTCATGTCCTTAATGGCAAAGAAGGAAGAATACCACTTGGAATACTACTGTGGAAACAAATACAAGCAAATAGAGCAGAATTGATCTTGCCACCCTATAATTTTTTCCTCTTAACTTCTTAAAGGTCTTCACCTGTTTAACATTCTGGAGGGGAAAAATAATGCAAAGAGATTTTTCTGATATTGTTTGAATTGTCTTTTTTTTAGACAAGAACTGTTTTACTACCCAGAGTTCCACAAAAAAAAAAAAAAAAGATGTTCACAGCACAAATTAAAAACTGGTCATGAAAAATATAAATGCTCTTTCAACTTGAGAAGGAAATCACTTCATAATTTACACTCTCTACTTGAAAAGAAAACAACTTTACTCATAAGTTATTGGTTTTCCTCTCTTCTTGTCTGTGTTTCTCTCTATTTAGTGCATGTTCTTCACAGTCCCTCATCAATGCCCTTAGATACAAGGGAGATGTTTGAGAGTCAGTGCAAGAAGAAGTTTCATTTTAATACACAGCAAATTAGAGGCACTGCACACACACGTATATGTGGCATACCAGAATATTAGCCTCGAATGTGGACTCATCTGCCTTGAATAGTCTTTCATCCACATCCCAACACCATTTTCTAACATTTGCAAACCAATTGAGAGACTGCTTTGCTGAATTTACCTGTGACAATATATGTAAAAGAGGATAGGTAAAAATGAAATCTCAAGTGCTGTTATTGTTGACAGACAGCTGGGAGATATGAACTGCATACAGTACATGCAGAAATGTGGTTGCCCTATAAATTTTGCTGTGTCTCTAAACAAAGACAAAAATAGGTATAACTAGCCTGGTATTGTTTAGTTACGTAACAGATTGAGGGTTTGGGTTTTAGTCACTGAAAATGTGATAAACAACATTGTGCATTAATGCAGAAAACAGATTGAGCTTTTTAATGGTACATCAAATAAGACTTTATTAGCATCTATTAGGTTCAACCCAAAGCCTGGGAAATAGCATTAATGAGCATCATATATCAGTCTGTCTGTTATTAGATAACATTATCCCTTAAAACTAGCAAGTCATATAGTACTTCATACTTTTTACCTTTATCTTTAGAATAAGCTGCTGACATCCTCTCCTGTTACACTGGCCTTACTATTAGTAATAGTGAACCAATTTATAAACCCATTAGTGACACTTTTTCCCGAAGATAAAAACAGTCAAAATTATCTGGCAGCAATTAATCTTAATGGCTGTATGCAGTAAACAGCAATGGGCTAATTCCAGCTCTGTCAGCCCCATCAAACAATCCCACATTAGGCAGCTTTTCACTGATCCATTAAGCATATTCAGAACAACAACAAATTCAATGCTGAAGGCATATGCACTAAACATTACAACAGTGATCTTCTGAAGCCATCATTATCTCTTAAATAGTACTTCCCCCATGTATTATCATTATGCTGTACATTAGAAATACTTTGATTAAACTCCCTTAATTCATAACAGCCAGCTGCAGACCATTTATGCAGTTAATCTCAACACAACAGCTATTGAGGAAATATAACAAATGAAGGCTGTAAACTGGAAGTCATTACTATGAAAGATACTGGTTTCCTAGCCCTCATAGTGCAAAGTGCACGGCAAGATTGTACTTTAGAATGACAGTGATGCAGACTGAAACAACTAATGGCTTTCCACATGTCCTGCAACATATGCAGCAGGAATTGCAGCTGTAAAGGTGTGTGCAGGAGCGACCTGACAAACTGTCAGCATGAGTGACAAAAACATCCAGAAGCCCCTTGTTCACAGGACTAAAATATCACCAGAGAGCTAGAATGCAAACTGCAGCCTCTTCATTGCTTTGCTGGCTTCATCTGGAGCACTCTGTAATTTGTCTCTACGAAAGAAGAGTTCTGATTTCTTCCTCTATGAAGCTCGAGTTAGTGGTAATGACACTTTGAAAGACTGCAGACCTTTAGTTTCCTTTCCTACAAGTAATAGCTGTTTTGAGAATTTTTATTAGACTATTTTCTCTTTAAGATATAATGGATATGGTGTGGCAAGAAAATTTGCATAAAGCTTTCCATAGTGATGTAAACAAAAACAATATTATCAGGAGGGGAAGGAAAACAGTAGCTAATTTATATTTCCACTCTGACCTGAAATTCACATGAGGTATTCTCATTTAATAACATGAAAATGTTAAATAGATAAAAGTTGATGGTATTTTCTTAAGTTTTCATCAAATGTATTCCATTAAAAATGTGTATTAAAAACTCACTCAGAAAGGTTCATGCTGCATATTAAGGAAAAACAGGAGCTAAGTTGGTGTTGACTATCTAGATTGCACCTTTTCTTAATTCAACCAAGAAATACCCCAAGAATTCTGTGGGACTTGGGTACAAAAAAACACTTTCAAAAATTCTTTACTTGTCAAGTGTAAAGAAACCATAAAAATATTAGTGAATAGGGTCTATGTGTTTTACAGTTCTTTACTATATATAAATAGTTTATTTGATTTTAAAGAAATAAACCACAGACACAGTGTCTACCTTGCAATAAAATGATTAAATAAATAAAACTTCAATTTGGCACAAGTCTAGCTGCCAGTTCTGATCTTAGTTCCAGTTCATAAGTCCAACTCAGCTGAAGGTGGATGCAAAACCTTCACAGTACCTTCAGGACCAGCACTGAGGAGCAGGCAATGGAATGCAACAGGTAATAACACCCTTTAGAGGGTTAGAAGAATCAGCTTCCTGATATTTGGATAAAACTGAGGTGAAAAGTCTCAGTGCAAGTCCAGTTTTATACTTCTATTACTTTCTAAAGGTCGTGCATTTCTGGAACATGTAAGGCTGTAGCTCTCCACCCATTTATGAGGGGAGGCAGACCTGCATACCAAGGTAGATGTGTACTGCCCAAGCACCAAACATACTTAAAGAGTGAATTTTGCAAATTCCATCCCAAACAGAAACCTTTTACATACTATCATAGTAATCTCTCTTTCAAAGGGATAAGAATGAACTTGTGCCTCAGACACAGATTTAAAACACTGGTACTCTTCTTACCTCTACAGTACCTTGCCATACAATCTTAGGTAAGCTTTATTTCTCTTCTTTATAATGTTGATAAGGTGACTTTTACGTGTGGCAGAGCTGTTGCCAAGACTAACTGGTGATGGGTACAGTTATTCCAAGGTCTTTGATCAGAAAACTGAACAGAAAAAAAATTGCTACATCATTTGCAATAATGCATTCTTATTTTTGGCTTTCAAGGCTGGCTCCCATGATCAAATTTATGTAGGACTTTTAAGCATCAAGAAGCCTGTCTATAACATAGATCTACTCTGGGTCCTTGCAAAACCAGCACTGGCTCCCAGCACTGGTCTGACCAGCTTCAGAGATTATGGAAATTAGCAGAAGTGGCCCTCAAGAAGGCAGGTGCTGAGCATGCAGAAACTGCATCCCTACCTGCATCCTACACTGCCACTACCAAGGTAAGCAGTCTGTTTTCCAGTAAGTAAAAGTAAATAGATCAGTTTCAGGAAATATTTTTCTCCATGTCAGCCCCATTCCTGCTGTTCTAATGCCAGTCTTTGGAAATAGATGAGATTTGTCTTGAACCTATTTCATGTGATCTGGAGGTAACCTACAACAAGAAAAGCGCCTGAAAGCCAAAGATGGCTTCTTAACCCAGCAGAAAGAGAAAACTGAGTAATTAATTTTAATTTTTTTTTCTTCTACACAGAAACGTTTCTAGGTATAAGAGCTTCAGACAACAAGGAATATTAGACACTCTGCTGAAAATCAAGACATCAGCAGAGTCTGGGCATCATCCTCTGACAGGGGATTCCTAAGACTGAACATTTTCACTTAAGTGCCTAAACACAGTTGAAGTTTCCTACTGAACAGTATTCTCAATGTCTGAGATGTAACATATATTTCTCATGCATGACCTATTAATATGGGAAGAAGTAACTTTTCACAAAACATAAAGAGGGATTGACTCACCATCCTCTTTGGCAGGCAGAAAGATCTGTGATATGATGTGACAATTATAAGTTATAAAGTGTACCTGAATCATTATACGCAACCATCTTTGTCCAGTTTTACGTTTTGCTTCTTCTCCCAGCAGTACGTTTTTCCCTAAAAAAAATGAAAAATGCCATAAGTAACATATTTTCAATAATTTATTCATTTTTCAAGACCTAATATGCTTGGATTTGAGCTAATCCAAGTAGGTAAGTGCTAACCTTCAGAACAAAGCAGAAGATTGTTCCACCCTTCTCTCTGAAAAAGAAGAGCAACAGAATTTGTCACCTAACAGTGGACTCAGTTCTAGGGAGTACTGAGGAAAGGATACTTTGCAGGTGATAATGTGTGCTGGTAAGAATGGCAAATTATTCCCAGCTGCTATTTTTTCATTCCAGCACAAAATTTTCACTTAGTTGCAGTTTTACCAGGCAACACCTCTTTTTCTTTTTTTTTTTTTTGGCTCAGGCTTCATATGACTGATTTCAGAAGAATATATGGCTATGTATATACCCTTCTAATACAGTAACAGGGGAACTACTCTGCTTACTTTCCAAGGACCATTTACTAATCTTGAATTGAGCTAACCAAACAGTGCAGCAGGGAGTTTATAAAGATTCTTATAATTCTGCCCAGCACACGATCCAAGCACAGAGCTCTTACTGTATCAGTAAGAATTCAGGACTAAAGAGAAAATATATACTTGCCGAGCTGCTAGTAGGATATTTTATGTTAATTGCAGATGAATTTTATAGATGGATTTTATTTCAAATTATGGACATCGTCTCATCTTATTTTGACAATATGTGAACAGTCAGATATGAAACAACCTATACAATGTGTCTGAGTTTTTCACAAAGGGTGAGACAAGGTTTTTCACAACTGACTAGAACTGTGAAATAGTTCGGTCATGCTATGACATATTTTTCCTATTATTACCATACTTAAAAAGGGTCAAACCTGATTTTCAAAACCAGAATATTGTTCTCTTTCATCTAAGATAACTTCAGGTCACCCAACAGTGGTAAGGAACTTTGAAAATATTGTATTGATTTTGCTGATAAAATTCCCAGCTAAAATTCCCTAATTTGGGACTGTGGTGAAATGATCATAAAAGTAGACTGAACTTTTCATAGAATTATTGTTATTGATGGTACTAATTGGCAACAGAAGAACATGAGTTATGAGTTAAAGGGGTGCATCTCTACTAAGGGACAACACAGTAGAAGAATATTTTGCAGGTTTTATTTTGTTCACTTATTCAAGTTTGGACTTTCACGAAAAATTCTATTGTAAAAGTTAAGTGAGGCTCTGATAGAGAATCCAGAATTGTCCAATTTTTAGATTTTTTTTTCCCAGTTCTTCAGTCCCTTTATACATTTGGAAGAATTTCCACATAAAAGATGTTTCCTTTTTCTTCGGTGGGACTATTAATGTGTGCAAACTTTAACTTGGTCCAAGTATTCTGTGGCTGACAGAATGTTAGGAAATCAAGTTTAATGAGTGGTTAGACTGTGTACAAAAAAACCTCTAGAAATCATATAAACCATACTGATTTATAGAAGGCTGTGCTAAGAAGGATAGGGTTTCCGTCTCTAAGGGATCAGAATATAAGCAGTGAAATGGAGAGGTGATTTTCAACCTTTTTGAATTTACAGACAATCTAAAAATATTTTTAGTGGAAAGGAATATCCATGTAATATATTTAAGCTTGTAGATATTAAAACTGCTTTTTCAGGGACCACTGACAGGAACCTTAAGGATTCCCAAGGGTTCACAGGCTATAAGTGAGAAATCATTGAAATTAATGATACCAAATTATCTACCCCATTCTAGCTTTGTTTTGTATGTTTGCTATAGTGCCTTGCATCTGCCTTATTAATTATCTGGACTTATATTACCATACTCCTTACATACCTAGAAATGCCAAAAAAACATGAAAAAGTAATTTTTAAAAATTTCATTACATCTTGTCTAAAAAGAATCGTAATTCGTGAAGGAAAAAAAGGAATAAAAAATTATTCCATTCATATACATTTTGTCATTAATTTATAACTAATTTATCAATGACCATGCAGCTGCACTCACTGTATTTTTGAAAATAAAAGCTCATATAATACTCATATAGTCTCTGAAAGCGTAGCATCTTAATAAAGGAAGAGGAAGCCACCAGAGTAATTAGAAAGGTATATTGTACTGCATATAATGGCAGAAGGATGTTTGTATTATAGTCCAACACATCATTAAGGATACAATTGTTATTTAATGTGGTACAATCATCTTTCTACTCTTCATGAAATCCACTTAAGTAATTACTTTTCTTAGCTCATTGGTTCTATGAACTGACAGTTTAGCAAAGTACTATGTCTAAAGAAATACTAAATGTACGTTTTTATGATACCCTACCTTTTGAGCTTGACTGTTACTGCTTACCTGGACTGTTACTGTTTATCTGGACTGGTTGTTTTCTCATTTAAAAAACTGGTGAGGAGAGTGGGGAGGAGAGGGGAAAACTGGAATGGGAAGGAGAGAGGGGAAAGAAACACCAAAAGCTTACAGAGCTGTATTAAAAAATGTAAACATTAAATGAAAAGCCCCATTCCCTTTTTCTCTACAGTGTTTTCCTTTCCCTCTGTCTAGGTTTTGAAACATATATACATAGACATATGCCAAATTAATTATTTGTGCAATGTTTAATCTCTTTTTTTTCTGTTAGCAACAGAACACTAGTTCAGTAGTGCAGCACCTTGAGTTGCTCCTAATCTGTTTTTAAGAGGAATAGTTTTACAAAGCACAGTTTTCAAGATTTGGGAGAGCATTCTCTTATGAAAGTTGATGATGAACATTAGCTAGCATATTATTTTACCTTATAATCTTTTTGCACTTATGACTGCAATAATATATGGGAGCAACATCACCTATATACTCAAAGCTCGTTCGTTTTTTTTTTCCTGTCATGCATATTTTAATATAAAGTTCAAGACCATTCTGCAGAGCAAGCCCAGCATTCAGCAGACACAGCACTGAAGTGCAACATTCAAATTGCCCAACAGAATGCTTTCTTTTTTTTTTTTTTTTTGTATTTTAAACTTAAAGCTCTCTTTCAAAGGATGTTGTAGTCTTCATGTTTGCTAGCATTACAACAAGGTAAGTCTGAAATACCTTTATCTTATTTGGTAGATCTATGTTTGATGCTCTTTGTTTGAATAGAAGTGTCAGCTGTATTTTACCTTATTATATAAAAAACTTTCAGAATTTAATTAAGGGTCAAGTACCCGCTGTAGATAAATGCAACAGCTAGAGCATATTTCTGATCTCTCTGAAGACTGCAATCATGAAAATTATTATCATTGAGTAAAACTGGTCTCAATGATGGTGACTGTGAGATGGAATCTGTGTTAGTCAGCCATAATTTACATAATAATGGGTTCCGAGTTTTCATCAGCACCTTTTGTTTGTACAGTGCTTACTGCTACAGTAAATTGTCAAAATGTCATTCCTATCCAATCAGCCAGAAAATATCAACAGTAAACAAGGCACAAGAAAAAATTCTCAGATTTAAAGAATGATGGAGGAAACAGTAAAACAGGACACTGGAATACTTGTAGCAGTCCTATTCTGATATTTTCAACAACACTGCTGAACAACTCATGAAACATTATTTTTTTAATGAAGCAATGTCATTACCTGTTTGTTTCCTCTTCCATATGGCAACCTATTACACTGCTACAGGCAAAACAGATTCAACAACAAAATTACTACAGTCTAGGTAGCCACAGACCTACAACTACCCAAAAGCAACTTAATCTAGGAAAACACTGAGTTCTAAATGAAAATACTAGCCCAAATAAATCTATCTTCTCTAACAAACACTCAAAGCCTGATAATATTTAAGTTGAAAGGAATTCTGTGAAACTTTCTGCTGCTCTCTAAAATTCACAGAATTGCAAGGAGAGGAGTGGCATGAGTTAGTCACAGTGTAGGCTTTATACATAAGCCATCATACTTATATACTATATTAAAATTAAAATTTTCATATTGTGTTTGAAATAAAAATGAATAAAGTGGCACCCTGCCAAAGAGGACCAGAAGCCACCCTTGTGTGGAGCCAAAATACTTGGTTCAAATAGTACTTAATTCATTTTGGTGAAATGACAAGTAGTATAAATGTGTCTTTAAAACAGAGAGGCAAAAACTCTAAAAAATGTTTCTTTGTATTGTGGTTCATGAAGTTGACACAGTCATTGCCTGTATATAAGCAGAAAACAACCTGATAAACATTCCTCAAGGAGGGCTTCCAGCACTGTGTTCTTAAAAATCTTCAAAAAGATGTGATCACCTAGTTAAGTCACCACAGAAAAGACTCATAGTACCTTCTTTTGGAAATGAATAAGAGTTTTAAAATCTATTGAAATGAAGGGTTGACATAAGCAAATATTTTGTAGAGCTTTCAGGTTTCTTTACCATTCACTTTATTTTACTTGGCTACTTTTAATTTTTTTTTCCACTTCTTCTCTTTGAAAACCCTGCATTGTCCAAGCCCTTTCGATTAAGCAGCTTGCCTGAATGAAAGCACTGTGATGAGGTGGCGGTGCATCAATAAACAGGGTGCCTCTCAAAGCAGGACAGAATGCTGAGAAATAGGGCTGATCAGCAGTAATTACTCTGACACTTCATGCAGTACAGGGAATTAACTCCTAGGACTTTGGGCCAAATGGAGAAGTAGTAGTTGATGTTCCACATTGTGAATGCCTCTGTGCCTGAACCCATTATGAGTTTAAATGGACATGGGAATTCACTATATACAGGGCTTCTTTCTTTCTTTCTTTCTTTTTCTTTCTTTCTTCCTTTCTTCCTTCCTTCCTTCCTTTCTTTCTTTCTCTTTCTTTCTTTTTCTTTCTTTCTTTCTCTTTCTTTCTTTCTTTCCTTCTTTCCTTCTTTCCTTCTTTCCTTCTTTCTTTCTTTCTTTCCCCCTGGCCTTTATCCTGCATTCATTTTTCATTAAATGACAAATAATTCAATACAGGGATGCCCATAACAACCATATTTATGGGAATGCACCCATCATGTTGGGGAAGACACCTATACACCAAGTTAAGGAAGTGGAATTGCTC